TCGAGACTACTGCACATTCTGTGATCACAAGTATAGAGCTGTAGTAAAACATGTTTCAACACGGTGGCTGAGTCTAGAGCTTGCTGTGCAGAGAAGCCTGAAACAATTTCCTGGCCTGACCTCCTATTTTAAGTCAGAGAATGAGCAACAAGCCAGATTTAAAAGGCTTCAGAAGGCTTTTAATGACCCGATGACTGAAGTCTATCTGTTATTCTTCCAGTCCATTATGCCAAGCTTCACCCATTGTAACCAATTCTTGCAACAAGAAGAACCTCTGATCCATGTCTTACAGCCACAGTTGGAAAGAATGCTCAGGAACATCCTTGCCAAATTTGTCAAAGCATCCGTTATCGCAGAACATCTGAGAGCAGGTACATTAACATCTATAGATTTCAAGAATGATGAGAATCATGTTGGCAATAATTGCTTATCAGTTGGATTCTTGACAAAACAAAGTCTGGACAAGCTATTGAGAGAAGGTGACATCTCACTTCACCAGTATGCCAAATTCTTCATGGCAACAAAGGCCTTTTTAATTCGAACTTCAGAGTACCTGCTAAAGTGGTGCCCTTTAGAAGACGAGCTGTTGATGCATGCCACCTGGATTGACTTTCAACACAGATTGGAAAAGAGTTTTATGTCTGTTGGGTATTTTGTTGCAAAGTATCCCGAAATATTTCCTGACATGGATTTGGAAAGCTTAAACGAGCAATTCTTGAACTACCAGTTGTTGCTGGAAGAAGATATTCCAGCAGAGGTAAAAGAAGTTGCCAAATGTGCAGAAGATGATCCACATTACCGAGTTGATATTCTTTGGGGGTATCTGAAGGGTGTGAAGAAACCAGGTACAAATTCACTTGAGTTTGATCTTCTCTTCCGTGTTGCTGAAGTTGTTATGACCATACCACATTCAAATGCAGGGGAAGAGAGAATATTTTCTCTCATAAACAAAAATAAAACGCCAAGTCGCAGCTCCCTTGAGCTTAATGGCACACTTTCCTCTTTAATGACTTTAATTGTTGTGAAAATCCACATCCAAGATCCTCTAAATTGGCAACCATCGAGGTCTCTCATTGAAAAAGCGAAGAAGTCAACAAAGTTGTATAATGACAAACATAAATGAGCTCTTACAGTTGAACAGCAAATAGTTAATATACAACTTTTCACTTTGTCAAAATAACAGTCAGTTTTGTTATGGGATCCTGGCCATTGGAGCATTTTCTTAGTTAGCACAAGATTGCTTGACATAATTGCAATATGTACATCATTCTTGCAACTATTGTATAGACTCTCAGACTCAGTTACAATACATACATTATTCTTGTTATTCATTTATCATAATGGTTTAGTGTTTTGACTTTTAATTAAAAAATAGATGTATATTTAAAGTAATATATGTTTCATAACATGTAAACAGACTATATAATGCTTAAAACTTGAAACATTTTTGGTATTACAAAACTTTCCCGGAGTATATCAATTTATTTGAATTGAAACATTGAGATAAGGGGGGGGGGGGGTCAAGTTCCTTGAAACTTCGCCGCTAATCTCACTACAAAGTCTGATCTCAAGTTGAGAGGTCTGTATCCAGACATACATTGCTGTCTTCTTCATCACTGAATAACTGATCCTCCTCCAAATTCTAGAGAGAAAAACATCATGAGACATGGTCATTCCTGTTGCAGAATTTGAAACAAACATCATGTTCTTCAATTAATTGATAATTAAATTTGTTTTAACATGTTAGAAAACTAAAGGACAGATTAGCCCTTCCCGCCCTGAGGTCAACAATAAACTCACCATTTTTTTTACTTAAATTATATTTGGCTTTAAGGACCTCCATCTCATTACTGGAAGATGGCTCTGCTGATTTAGCATTGTTCGTCTTGGATCTTTTTGAAGGCTGAAACGCATTTATAGGGAAATTATTGAAATGGAGGAGCTGTAGGTGGCTGAGCATACTAAAGCGCTGGCCCTTACCAATGAGTTAAGCCCGCTATGTAACAGGTCTGAACACGGTAGCTACCTCAGTTGGGGATGCTTTGATCTGTGGACTTTATCAACTCATGCAAGTAGAGTTAAAATTGATGCAATACCTTCTCCTGAGTGATTTGCTGCTTTGGTTCTTCATCTTCATCATTTGATCTCTGATATTTTCCAATTGGCCTCAAACCACGTTTTCCTCTGCCATGATTGGGGGTTTTCAGTTAGCCAGTTTTGCAATAGTGCACCATGTGAAGGTGAATGGTTTCATAATCATCTGCAAAACAATTTTATTATCCAATATGTACAGTCTGAGGCGGTGCATGGAGCAGGAGATTGTTTCCTGTGGTAATCATACCGCATTGCGATTACACATAATATAATATTGTAAGTTCAACTGCATAATGAATACTTAGGGAAGAGAGTAGAGTAAAGAGAGTAGAATAGTGATGAAGTGACATTTTACATAAACTACGACATACAACTGACATACAGGCCTTAAAATATTTTTTATAGGGCCGTCTGACAAAATGTCCGATGACATTGAGTTTGGGTCAGACATATGTCCGATGACCTTCAGTTCAGTTTTGACTCGGAAATGAGTGACACAAATGAATTATTAATTCTGAACGGTAAATGTTGTGAAGATACTAAATAATTTGTTTGATTGTTTCTTTCATACTTATTTCCAAGCCAAAATTAACTTGCTTTCCAGAACAGACTAGAAAGCAAGTTAAAAAAGACTTCCACAACTTAAGCCTGTTTTCCACTTTACCATTTTGCTTGTCGCCCCGCGCTCGACTACGTTAAAACAACATTTCCAGTTCACCCTTTACGTTTGTGGAAAATGGAAATTTGAGGCAATATTAGGGAAATTTAATTCATTTATCTTCCGACTAAACAAACATGGCGTCCAGGGTTGTTAGAAAAATAAAAAAAAGTTTAAAAAAAAAGAATTTAAAACCTACCTAAGTTTTTACAAGAAGAAATAGGAAACCCACATATTTTTTTGGCCTAAGGGTTCTAAGATGTTCAGGATTTTAGATTTCCTTAGCGAGATCCTTGCGAAAAAACAGACAGTGCTAACATGCGTGCCCTGTTGCAATTTTAGTAGCACTATGTATATAGACATGTAGACAGAACAGACATGTAGAAGTATATAAACCAAAACAGTGGGTTAAATTTTAACCCATGGTTAGTGCTAAACCTGCTTTGAACAACTGCCCCCAGCAGAATATGCTGTGGCTGTGCAAAGGCAATAATTGATCCTTATATTTATACCACAATAATTGATCCTTATATACCGTAAACCTCCGAATATAAGCCCTGGGCTTATATAAGTTCGTAAGTGTTTTTTGATAGGCTTCTACACAGGGGGGGAGGGGGCTTATACATGGATGACATATTGTGTTAGTATCAAACATGAAAGTACCATATTTATGTTAGAATTATAAACCGAGAACGAGGTTTATAAGTGCTATATTGCCCCCGAGGACGCGTAGCGTCCAAGGGCAATATATCAGTTATAAACCGACTTTCGAGGTTTATAACTAACTTATATCACATTTGTGGAGGTTTTCTAACATATTTTGTCATTTTCAAAAATTTTGGATGAAAAATTCTCGCGTTTTTGTCTACAAGTTTCATCTAATCATTTATTCAAGGTATATAAGCTAGTTATAAACCTTGGACGATCAAAGAAAACCGACACAAATGTGATATAAGTTAGAGTTATAAACACGAAAATAAACAAACATGAACAAATATTAACATATCAAGCTACATTGCAATAGTAGATATTAGAGACCTTAAGATTGACGTTTACGGCAAACGTCAAACCGCTAGCGAAGTTTTTGATTTTACAACTCTATTATTATAGTTTTTACACCAGTTTTGAAATATGTTAAACTTATTAAACTTGTGCTCTTTAGCAATGATTTAAGAAAGCAAATTAACCACTAGTCATGCCATTCACCAAAGCAGTAAATTAAGATTTGGCGTTTGAAGTTGGCGTTTGGCGTATAAATTTCATGCTTTAACGACTACAAGCCCTCGTAGCAGTTCAAGCATGAAATTTATACGCCAAACGCCAACTTCAAACGCCAAATCTAAATTTACTGCTTTGGTGAATTGCATGACTAGTGGTTAATTTGCTTTCTTAAATCATTGCTATAGAGCACAAGTTTAACAAGTTTAACATATTTCAAAACTGGTGTAAAAGCTATTATAATAGAGTTGTAAAATCAAAAACCTCGCTAGCGGTTTGACGTTTGCCGTAAACGTCAATCTTAAGGTCTCTATAGTGGGCTTATATTCGGGGGGGGGGGGCTTATATTTGGAATGCTGTGTGAACGTTAGTAATTTGATGGCCTGTTGGAAGGCAGGCTTGTAATTTCCGGAGAACATGTTAGTGAGTTTACCGTATGCCAGGCAAACAGTAATAAATATAAAACTTTACAAACAAGTCAAGTGACTGTTAATAATAGGCAATTCCAGCTTTTAGTTTATGCATGCAGGGGACGATGGGAAGTAAGGTATCACATTGCTGATTATGCTGAAAAAATAAAAATGGTGGCCATATAAACACGGACTGTTGGGACTGATAGATTATACTTGGAAATATTGAAATATTCCGGTTGTTTCGGTACTTTTTATTGAAAATTTTCAGCATAATTGGCAATATACCTTACTTCCCATCATCCCCTGCAGGCATAAACTAAAAGCTGGAATTGCCTATTAAGCTGAATAGCTGATATGTGGAGGGAAATTTTAAAATTTGTTGACCTTGTCCTTGTCAAATCTATTTGCCACACAACAGTAAACACTGAACACAAATATTTAACTAGCATATACATAGTAAAGTGTCTACAAAGGCAAGCAAGGTTTGAAACAACAAATTAATTAAATTTTGACAGACATGTATAAATTTCACATACAATTAAATAAAAACAAGAAGCAATATGCAACACACTTACCACTAAATTTAAGCACTTTAGCCACACAGGTTGTTGTAAGCGTTGATGGGTCGATGGAACCCTTTATTATTTTCTTGTGAATTTTTGAAAATTCACACGGCCATGCCACCATTACTTCTTTCTTCCAATTCCAACATTTATTGTCGAATTCAATTGGATTTTCTCGAGTAATCCATTGCGACTCCCCAACTTCGCATGCCTTCTCAGTTACAAACTAAGATAATGTGAATTTCATGTTGAAGGAGAAGAAAAAATTCACCAAATAGAACAGTATTTTGAAAGATAAACGATCAAGTCAAACATGCGCACCAAACCACATGTGATGTGAGGGTGACACAAATCCCATGCACCCTCACGCGTTTTGAGCGATTTGCCATGCTTGTAACCTGGGCACTAATGTGTTATTTCGTAACAGCTCACATGTGAAACACATGTTTTGACAAATTGGACAAAACTCGTGGTAAATATGTAATGATTTCTACTAAAAAGTTTTGGCTGGAAAGTAAAAAAAAATATGTCAAGAGGATCATACAAATGATATGAATATGACCTTGATGCTCATGTTCCAAGAACAACAACTTACAATAGACGAAAACGGCAACATGCTGAGATAGACTTGATGATCCGATCCAGACCGATGTTTCAACTGGCAGGAATGAAATTGATTCTGTTAATACGGTATGCTAACACTTTATATTTTATACATTGAATACGAGGCTATCAAGCTCATTTCTTTTATATAGTTCTGTATCACTGTAGAATTAAGTTTATAGTATATTTTTGGCTTGGCTGTTGTATATACAGTCAATTTTGCAAAGATGGCAAAAAGGAAGCAAAATTCCGGCGCATCTTCATCAATGTCAAAAAAACAAAATAAATTCTCTTGGTCAGCCGAACATGTTGAAAAACTGTTGGACTATATCAAGGAATACATTATGCAATGCAAGTAATAGACCACAACATTGAAATAACAGACCACAACATTGAATTATATAGCAAGCAAAGGCCCAATAAATAGCATTTACACAACTTGCCAACAGACGGCTTAGCGACCACGTATAGGTAGGGTTACCCTATCAGGCAATATAGCCCTAGCAGAAGGGTTACCCTACCTCATGTAAACACTTGCTATTTTCTGAGCCACTTGCTAGGGTAACCCTCCTGATAGGGTCACCCTTCCTCCATGTAAGCAGGCCCTTAGAAATAGAAAACATACAAATCTTCTCATTTTATGGGAATATCCTGAGTCTGCAATCACGGCTTCAATTTTTGAATTGCAGAATAATAGTGTTTCTAGTGTTATAAGGTATAGAAGACTCTGAAAATGCCATTTCCAATGATCTGGAGACTCCATATTTTCAAACTTCAACCACTCGGTGGCAACCATGGTGGTGCCTCATGCACTTGGGCCCCCCAAAACAAAATCTCGCGCATTATTTTTTGTCAAAGTTGGCAACTGTGATTTTTTAATATATGTATAAAAACACACACACTCTAAGTTAATATATATGATAACAGAAGATCTGGGTTTTTAAAAGTGATTAACAATGACATCCAGTTGTTTTGCCTACGAGTCGTTTTGCCAACTGTCAGTTCACCAATGTCTTGCAGGTAGCCTGAGGTAGGGTTAGGGTTGGTTGTAGGGCTAGCTTTAAGGGACATTTCAGGGGTTAGATTTGATATGTTAATATGGTATACTAACACTTTATATTTTATACATATATTAGCCAATGAGAAATGATAACACAGTACAATGAATAATAATATTAATTATTTGTCATACTATATGTACCGTACATGTAGATATCTAGGGAAAATTCAGTTCAAGACGAGAACATTGAAACTGTATCTTTTCATGATCAGGTGAGTTATATTAGAGATCTCTAGATTTAAATTAACTGTATTTATTGTAGTAATTGTACTCTGCAAAAAAATACTGTTTAAAACATAATTATAGGAGTCATGCACCATCTGCATTGCTGCTGCAGTGATGTGTGAATGTTGTAATCTCTTGTATTAACCATTAAAATGAAAATACTAGAAGTACCGTATATAATGCATTGGGTGTCACACCCCTCAGTTTGTTTACCTATATATTTGTGCAGAAGATGGTCAAGAAAATGATCATGTTCATTTTAACTTGCCCTCTAGTAAAACATTAGTCACACACTGTAACACTTGTTTGATTTTTGTTTTAATTAAAAATAATTTATGGCATTGTGATGTGACATTGGTTGCATTGGATTTTAGCTTCTGGTAACAATGCATACACAATATTTACCTCTGCTCAGAGATCAAATCAATCAATTTCATGCAACATTTATATATTTATAATCATTGTGATATATACTTGAATGTTTTATTATTCTAAAATAGACATCATCTCATGATTCAAGTGACGAATGTAGTGACGGAGTTGAAAGTGGCGATGAGGCTGGTCACGCTTCAAATAACAGGAGAAATTTCAACAATGATCAGGTAATTTTTACAGATACTGTACAGCAAGTATATATATATATACACAGGATTCTAGAATTAGTAGTATTTCAACAGCAATAACACTGTCGCCTCTGCTATAGCACTGCTGTACTAATGTCCTACATGCATTGCCATTATGTTCAATTACTGTTCATCTATTAATTTGTTCCTAAACCAAAGTGCACAAATCTGATACACATTAGCCGGCACATCATTTGGCATTGTAATAGTACTACATGCAGGCTAGTGACACATGCAAATGAAACTTTACTTAGAATGTACATTATAAGTGAGTAACTTTAACATAAACATGCACGTCTGAGTTAAGAAGAAACAGACTGGGCAAGTGTTAATATTGTTCATTGCTGCCTTTCTAATGCACCACTAGGATAATTAGATGAAGTAATTGGTGAGAATTGGTCAGCAGTCCTGTACATATTTTATTTTGCATTTTTGCTTACGGTACTAATAATTTTTTATTATCATAGGATGAAAAGGAACCAATTTATCCTGGTGCAAATATTACAAAAACTCAGAGTCTTCTCTTGATCCTTTGTTTCGTGCTTAGACACAAACTAACTGATGTAGCTCTTGGAGATCTGTTGTTGCTGCTAAATACATTGTTTCCCAATACAGTTCCAGCAACAAAGCACAAGTTTTATAATTTGTTCAATTTAGAGCAATCAGAGGTATGTGTTCAACAATGTGCCTACACTGTACACAGTCCGTATCCAGTCCCTCGGATGCTTTTTGAGGTAGGAAAGGAGGGACTATGCACAGGTCTATTGAAACTGAGACGTTCACACTTGATTGGGCACCACCCCTTTGCTGCCTTATTTTAAGTATTTATATTTTACATTGTACTGATTTCTCTTGTCACAATATCAACACTTGCGTTAAGGAGTAATCACTAATGTGTATCTTTCACTGTACAGTTTTAGTTTATCGTATAATTTCAAGTGATCAGAACATTCTGAGACTATAAAATACATTTTGTAACAAGCGAGTGGCCTGGGACAAAAATAGATAATATGATATTGGCCTGATTAACAGTTGACCTTTTAAATCAACAATTTCAGCCAATCAAAATTTCGTTTTGAGACACAGAATTCCAATTTCAATGGACGTGTACACAGTTCCGGTCTGAGTGACCAAGTACAGTCTATAATATCATTGGGGAGCCGTATTGGTACCTACAGAGTATGCGCCCTACTGTACTGGTTATTAGTATTCTTTTACTCAACTTTACCTTTTTTTTCAATTTAGAAGCACTTCTACTGTTCTACTTGCATGTCGTACATGGGTAAAGATTCAACCATTGCAGCCTGCAACAAATGCAATCAGGTATTTGATGGAAAGGAAAGCATCAAGAATGGAACATCATATTTTATGTATATTCCAGTTCAACAACAAATTGTAAGCCTTTTATCAAATGACAAACTTTTTCCATATTTGACAAATAGAAACTTAGATTTTGGCTCAAATCAAAAAGTGTAAATGATGTGACAACGTCAGCATTGTATAAAGAGCTGATAGCTAAGCATGGTCTTGGTCGAAATGATGTATCTTTGACCTGGAATACAGATGGCATTCCTATCTTTAACTCCTCTAACTATTCGATATGGCCTTTACAAGCTTTTGTAAATGAGCTTCCTCAACACCTGCGGGGCAAAAATATCCTGTTGCTTGGTCTATGGTTTGGTCAGAAACCAATTATGAATACCTTCTTGAAACCATTTGTTGAGGAGTGTAGACACTTAGAATCGGATGGTTTTATCTTTTGCAACGAGATTCAGCCTAGGAAACTTTTTCCTTTACTACAATCTGCAGATGCTCCTGCTCGAGCTATTGTTCGAAATGTTAAGCAATTTAATAGTAAGCATGGGTGTGATTGGTGCGAATTTGAGGGAGTAGCTCTGCCTAATAAGACTGGCCCTCCTGTTAGGTACTACCCCCATAGAACACCAGTTGTTATGCGTACTGCTGCAAAGCAAGCAGCATATGCATTAAAAGCTTCACCTACTATCACCTACTAATCCTGTTAAGGGAGTGAAGGGGATGACTGTTGCAGACTATTATCCTCTTTTGACCCGGTCAGAGGCACAGTGACAGATTTTATGCATTCTGTTTGCTTGGGAGTTGTTAGGCAAATGGTAGATCTGTGGATCAATAGCAAGCATCATGATGAAAGTTACTACATTGGTCAAAAGGTCAACTTGGTTGATGAACGTCTGCAACTAATAAGCCCGCCAAGTGAGATTCACAAAAGCCCCCGTAGCCTTTCTCATAGATGTTATTGGAAAGCATCTGAATGGAGAGCTTTTATCTTTTATCATCTCGTCATTCTTCAAGGAATTCTTCCTTCCCGTTACCTGAATCACTTCTTCCTTTTTGTTTATGGGATTTACACTCTATCTGGTGACTCAATATTAGACGAGGCAATTTCTCTTTCTGAATTTTGTCTGACAAAGTTTGTGATTCAGTTGGAGGAGCTCTATGGGCTTTCAAGTTTCAAATATAATGTTCACTGTTTGACACATCTTGGATATTCTGTTAAGAATTGTGGTCCATTGTGGGCTACGTCTAATTTTACCTTTGAGGCACACAATCATGTTCTTGTTAACATGTTCCATGGAACACAGTCAGTCCCTCAGCAAATAACGGATACATTTTTGCTAAAAAACAAGGTGCATCCATGGCAAGGACTTGCATAGATGACGAATCTTCTGCTTCTGTGGAGGATGCACTTGTTAGGCTGATGTATTATGCAAGGTATAAGCACAAGAATGATGGTGATGGGCTGAGTCGTTTAGGCACTGGGAAAGCGATTAGATGCCCGTTGGTTCAACATCTTCTGGATACCATTGTAAATACAACCCTATCAGTGCATCGACGGCAAAGTGAAAGTGGACTTTTTACGACGATAATCGTGAGTTTTGACTGTAAAGCATTAACATTTACTTAGAAATTGTGATTAGCAATAAGTATTGTATCATTTGCGACAGCTGACCTTTGAACTGCTGATAAATAAAAGCTTCTTATAGTGCGCTATCTTGGGATTATTCAGTATTAATTGTTGAGTGTTTCTTATATTCAATGAAAAACTGCTTGTGAATTACAAATTAATAGCACATATAGTTCACTCGGTCTTTTCCACCATGGCATACTTCCCTTCAAGCATTAAATACGCTTCAAGATATCGGCTTGAATGCGCAATGAATGTTGTTATTGGAAATAATTATATATCCCTTACAATAAGCGGCAGACTGTTTCATTATGGCCTGTGAACTTCATCACGCGAAAAACGCGTTCGACTTGCAGCAGGGTAATTTGACGAATTTCGCTATTTTTGTTAGCTAAAAACATTAACAAGGGAACAAAGTTTCCTGCGTTAATTTGGAAACCGTACATTGATTTGTAGATAACGTTTAATGACGCGATTAACATTCGTTTGATGACGATCATCGTAATATAGCCGCATAAAATAATGAAACGAAGCTTAAATGTAAACTTTCCGGATTTATTCAATAAACAGTGTTATTATGTGTGAATGATTATCGCAATTCTGCGTCCTCTCAGTCACGAAATATACTGCTGCAGAGCCTCTGAATAGAACGTATCATTTTTTGTGTTGTTTTTCGAAATATACATCACGTGATCGTTGCCATGACAACAAAAAGTAGGTCAACTTTTAGAATCTCCTTTGATAAATCATATTAAACTTGAATGGTAATAATCAAGGCCATACTTATTTTTTTATGATTTTTTGTCTATTTTCCCTAAATACACAAACTGGGACCCAGGCATTAATGTACCTGAGTGTATTTGACGAATTCAAAGAGCAGCTAACAAGATCCAAGGACGGTTGGTAGGAAATGTCACTTCCATGGAAACCTGGTCATCAACCCCTGTTTATGTCGTCTCAATTCTCTCTTATGGAAATTAAAATGGACGGACATGCTTCCAGAGTACGATGCTGTGATCAGAGAGCAAATCGAACAGGGAATTGTAGAGAAAGCTCCAAGTGAAGTCACGGGTAAAGAATTCTATCTCCCTCATCGCGCGTAGTCAGAGAAAACGCGGAAACCACGAAAACCCAAATTGTTTATGATGCATCCGCCCGTCAACGTGAAGATACACCATCATTAAACGATTGTCTACTTACCGGCCCCCCATTACACATTCAACTATGGTCAGTGATAGAAACCGATTCCACCCAGTTGCTGTTGCAGAAGACGTGCAAAAAGCCTTTCTACAAATTAGAGTCCGGGAAGCTGAGCGTGACACGTTACGGTTCCATTGGATCAAAGATTTACATTCCACTGAAGTCGACGTACTCCGTTTTACTCGAGTTGTCTTTGGTTTAACTTCGTTACCGTTTCTATTGAATGGAGTCATCGCGAGACATTTAGAGTTGATTGAGCCTCATTTCCCAGAAACTGTAGCTGAAATACGTAAGAGTTTGTACGTGGATGATTTAATCTCTGGAGCATCTACTACTGAAGAAGCAACCGAGCTTAAACAAGACGCGATCGACATCTTCGATGATGCCAGATTACGATTACATAAGTGGCATTCGAACGCCCCAGAACTTGAGTCGGACATGAGAGACAGTTCGATTACATTTGCTAAGCAACAGTTAGGTGCCAATTCAAAAGAAAACGAGTGCAAGCTATTGGGCCTGAAGTGGAATAAGATTGAAGATACCCTACAAGTCGATTTCCCTACCGTACCGGCGGTGTTGACGAAGCGAGGTGTTTTGGCATACTTAGCAAAAGTTTACGACCCTCTAGGTCTAATCTCACCTATGATGCTCGAAGGCAAGATTATATATCGTGAAATATGCAAAGAAAAGATTCGATGGGATGGGTCTATTCCTGATGAGCTCAGCAAATGGTGGTTGATGAGC